TATCTTACTTAAAGAAAAAGGCTACCATCACAGATGTGAAACTACTCAGACAGACAGAACTGATTGATTTCTCCACAGATAAATAAATTTCACACACAACTGGAGGAGCAGAGGATTCATATTTGAATAATACGAAGGCATACAGATTCAACCTCCATCACTGCAAACATACCTTTGAACTGCTGAATAAAAATTGCATTATGCAAGAAAAATGTAAGACTATTTGAGATAAAATTTTAGTGGTTGCCTGAGGCTAATCAGTAAATGCCATAAAACAGTGCTATTTGCAGCAGATACTGCGCTACACAAAACTTTAGAAAATTCTGTATTTCAATTATGCTCCACCTATGGCTTATTTTGTATGCTGTTTAACCAAATACTTCCAGAAAAAACAATGGCTTATTTTTAAGGTAGAACAAGACAACTCCCTAGTTTAAATGATCCACAAGCCAGAGTTCTTGGTTTGATACTGACACTAGAATAGATTAGAATAACAGAATTGGAAGGGACCTTGGAGGTCTTCTAGTCCAATTCCCTGCCTAGGCCTAGGCAGGAAACCTTACACCACTTCAGACAAATGGTTATTCAACATCTTCTTAAAGACTTCCAGTGTTGGAGCATTCACAACTTCTGGAGGCAAGCTGTTCCACTGATTNGGAGCTCTACCCCAGATTCCAGGACACAGAAGAAAAAAAAATACTAATGATGATAGACATAAGAAGAGAATTTTTTTCAGAAGCAAGATTGGCAACCAAAGACAATTTTAGTAGCAACTGGTGGGCAACGAGATTATCTGAGAGACCCTTCAAGCAACAAAGTGCGGAGAGAAGTCTATAAAAACCTTATAAAGGAGATAAAAAGAAGACTGACACCACAATTGGCAAGAGAGATAAGACTGTTTTGTTATTGGAAAGATACAGGTTGACAATGAAAGTTGATAATAAAAAATTAGTTGATTTTGGTGATTAATAAGTAGGAATTTTGTAACTCTAAGGTGTAATGTTATTGGAGGATTTTTTGAAATAGCTAATGAATGCCATTATGTGGTTGTGTCTTTAAGTATGAATGATTTGAGGTAAAAGCATGTTCAAATAATTGTAGTCAAATGAGAATTATGGTACACTGATAGTAAGATATACAAAGATCTTTTACTTAAAGTATATAATCTAATATGAACTGTAAGTAATGACTGTGGAAGAAATGCACAAAAGTTATCTGTAACCAATTGACACGCTTTCTACAAGATGTAATGAAGGATGATTCTTTTTTTGTGTGTTTTTGTTCAATTAAAATAAAATCAAAAAATAAATAAATTGTAAGGGTACAAGCAACAAAGAGTCACACAGTCATAAGTGGGAAGAGATGGGTGATAACAATGATGAGAAGATTAATAGTAATGCAGACTTAGTGAATAGTTTGACAGTGTTGTGGGAATTATTTGTTTAGCAGAGTGATGGCATTTGGGGAAAAACTCTTTTTGTGCCTAGTTGTCTTGGTGTGCAGTGCTCTATAACATCGTTTTGAGGTAGGAGTTGAAACAATTTATGTCCAGGATGTGAGGGGTCTATAGATATTTTCACAGCCCTCTTTTTGACTCGTGCAGTGTGCAGTTCCTCAATGGAAGACAGGTTAGTAGCAAATCTTTTTTTCCCCAGTTCTAATTATCCTCTGAAGTCTGTGTCTGTCTTGCTGGATTAAAGAAGAAACCGAAGGCTGTCTAGGGCAAAAGACTTGCTCAATATATTAAATTTTTCAAAGCATCAGAAGGCAAGACAAGAAACAAGGGATGGAAACTAATCAAGGAGAGAAGCAACCTGGAACTAAGGAGGAACTTCCTGACAGTGAGAACAATCAGCCAGTGGAACAGCTTGCCTCCAGAAGTTATGGGTGCTCCATCAATGGAGGTTTTTAAGAAGAGACTGGACAGCCATTTGTCTGAAATGGTATTGAGTCTTTACTCATGCAGGAGGGTTGAACTAGATGACTCCAAGGTACCTTCCACTTCTATTCTGAAATAGAAAATAAAGACAAAGCTCTCTAGTGAAGGACTTCATTTGGACATCTGACTGCCCTCCTGAGAAGCTTTTTCTAACATTGCACTGGAATCTCTCTTCCTGTCATTTAAATCCATAGTTTTGTGTCCTGAACTCTGGAATAAGGAGAAAACAGTTTTTGGCTTCCTTCGGTGAGATATTTGCCGGCGATCATAACCCTTCTCAGTGCAGGGATTATGGACTTCCTGTTTTCAGAGATGGGAAGGAGACACCGTTTCCTCGTCCTTGGCAAGTAGGCATCGTCTGATGCCAGCACTGACATTTCATTTTGTCGCAAACGTCATCTTTGAACTTACAAAGAAATAGTTTACATCTGGCCTAGTTTTTTGGACTTTGCTGCTTCCTTATCTCCACTTCTTTAAAGCTTCTTGCCCGATGAAGAATTCTGGAGAAGTCCAAAATTTGCATATCTTTTGAGGACTCCCTCACCCGTTCCTATTCCTGTTTAATCCTGAATTTGCATCATTATCGATGGGCTCAAGTCAGAGCAGCTTATAGGATCAAATTGGAATGGACGTAAGAAGGCTCAGGGTTTGTCTCCTTCCTTTCCATTTCACAGAATGTCAGAGTTGGAAGGGACCTTGGAGGTCTTCTAGTCTAACCCCCTGCCAAAACAGGAGACCCTCTACCATTCCAGACAAGTGGCTGTCCAATCTCTTCTTAAAAACCACCACTGATGGAGCACCCACAACTTCTGCAGGCAAGCTGTTCCACTGGATAATTGTTCTCAAGCTTTAAGAGAGGTTTGAATTACTTCTGGAGTAAAACTTCCATGTATGGTGCTTTTTAATATTCACCTTAAATATCTTTTCCCTGGGATTCAGAGGTCTGAACTCAAAAGCATAGGACCACAGGCAATTCTTAATTTAAAACCTTTGTTTAGTGAACAAAGTTGCCACCGCACTGAGAAATGTGACTTACAAGTGGTCCTCACACATATGACCGTCACAGCATTCCCCACTGTCACATCATTAAAATTCAGACACTCGGCAACCAGTATGTACTTACGACATCCTGGGCTCATTCGATTCACAATTTTCCCTGCTGGCTTCTAACAAACAAAGGCAATGGGGAAGCCAGATTCACTTAATGTCTGCATGATTCACTTAACAACCATAGCGATCCCCTTAATAACCATTGCAAAAAAAAGTCATAAAATTGGGCGCGACTCAACAGTCATTTTGCTTAGCAACTGTCAGCCTCTGTGATGCTTGCTTGCTATCGGCTGCCATAGTAACAAGGAGGGGGGAGCATTTGCATTTGGGAGGGGAAGGGAGCTGGAGGACATGTGTGAAGGAAAAGGGAGGTTTGCTCTCATCATTTACTGCACAGCTGAATGGACTGGTTTATGCCCAGTCGGGGTCAACCGTCCCAGCATACCAGATGGGTGGAAGCACCTGAAGATGCGCCCCACATGACACCACGTGGGTTGGGGATTAGACATTCAGTCTGGGTCCTTGGGGGGAGGGATTAGGTCATACTTTCAATATGTAACTTTCCTGCCTTTAGCCTCAGATCTTCCTTTTCTTTCATTGCTATCAATTCAAACTCAGTCAAAGTACCTTTTCTCTACAAAGATGGAGTTTTCCTCTCTTGGGTTTTGAACGGAGACACGCCTGACAGCCAGAGAAATTCTATCCTAGCTGTGGTCATAAACTGAGGACTACCTGAAAGGAGAATTCCCATCTTTGAGACCTGATGGGAGAATTTCTCCTCCTCTTGGAAAATGCCTAAAAATGTTCCAACTTCGTTCATTGGTACCCAGCTTTCTGGGATATTCACTCTGGATATTTTTCTCTGACATCCCATACAATCCTCTTCCCCTCCAGCAGAGGGAAATCTGCTCCAAATTCTCTTGCCTCCGAAGTATCCTTATAGGCAGGAAAGCTGGGTGCCTGCAGAGAAATTCAGGATCTGGCTAGGGCCTCCAGGTGAAGGTCAAGAGAACATACAAAGGATTCCTTAAAAAACGGCATGGCGGTGGCACAGTGTCTGCTGCCTGCCTGTGGGTATGCCCAGCCCGCCAAACCAGCTTCAGACGGGAGCAGTGCCAGTCCTCATTATCTCCCAGCCGGGTTGCGCCAGCCTTGGCGCAGAGCTCATCAGAGCTCACAACTGGCGCCACGGCTGGAGGACAATCACCCCTCCGAGCTTCTTGCCGAGCCATAGGAGAAATTACAAGGGGAGAAAGAAAGGGAAGGATCCAGGCCAAGAGAGCTTTGGGGCTGCCATCCCAGCCAGGTTTTGATCTGGTTGCCTGTGGTCACCATCAGGTTACATGACTTCGGCTTAGGCCTGGAATAATTCCACTGCCACTTTAAATGTACACTAATTGGCATACATTAAAATGAAATTTCACTGCACACAGCTCTCACCACCTCCAATATACACTACATAAGCATGACAAAATACATACATACTAATGCATATACCCACATATTTTATACACGGACATATATTAATAGCTCCAATGTTGATATATTTCTTAAACGGGCTTCTTCCCTGTCGGGCTTCTAAACAATTGCTGTGATTAAAAGTTATTGGGGGGGGGGGGGCAGAGAAGAAACTAAAGTGCCTTCCCCAGTTAGGAGCTGCTCCAGCCTTCAGCCCTTTGAACAGATTAAGGCACAAAGGATGGAAATTCCCTCCCCTCCAGCGCAGGCCAATGGNTATTTTATACTTGGCCATATTTTGTGTCTAGATGGAAGAGGATTAAATAAGGAAACTCTGAAGTTCTAATAAAGACTCTGTGCATTGGAAATAAAATATTTCATAAAATCTTTAGCTACAAAAATAGATTGTCATTTTAATTATCCAGAGAATAATCAATAGCTTCAATTAAACACTGGGGTTTAATTCTCCCAGATTATAATTGCTAGCAAGTGTTAATATTGCAACAGAAAATATGTCTGAATAATATGAACAAATACTCCTGATCAGACATTATACAGTGCAAAGTTAAATACAATACAAAGTTTATTAAAAATAGGTTGCAAGTGAAATACAGTAGAAATGGGAAACCACAGCAGTTCTTATGTTGTTTTCTCCATAATGCAACAATAGTTATGAAAAGCATTTTTATTCATATTCACATGGCTTGAATGCCCAATAAGCAGAGGTGGACAACTATGGCAACTTTAAGACCTATGGACTTCAACTCCCAGAATTCCTGGCTCAGGAATTCTGGGAGTTGAAATCCACAGGTTGTAAAGTTGCCATAGTTGCCCTCCCCAGCCCAATAGTGTTCAAATCCACTCCACAGTAAGTTAATATTTTTTCCTTAAATTCTAGCAGCAACAGTATTCCAGCCACAGAATATCTAGTGTTCTCAAGATAAATTGGGGGACACCTCCTTTTTTCCCTGAATAACAGACATAACAAGCATGCAATCCTTCATTAACACTTTCAACCAATTTAATCTTCTACTTCATATTTAACAGATGAACATTAAAAGAACACTTTCAAATAAGAAACCTGAACTATGTAAAAAAAATATTTACACTCCAATTTTATCTTTAACTTGCATTTATTTTTTTATCATACAACTCTTATTAAAAGTGATTTCTAAGGCAGTAAAGTCTACCCTCTGCATTTGGAAGTGTGCATAATTCCCTAAATATATATTTATAAGAGAACATATTATACAGAAAAATCATCTAAAACCCAATTAAGGACTTTATCAAATAGAAAATTTGTTTAGAATCACAATATATTGTTTTAAGCATCACACAATGCGAAAACAAACTAAGATGAGGTCTTTATTCTTAACATCAGCTATACATATAGCTGAAAGATCAGCGGGTGAAACAGATTTCAACCATTTAAAAATTAAATAATCCTGCAACATAGTGTGTAAAATAGCTTGAACTGCCAACATCTTCTACAATTCTACAATATAAAGAAAAAGAACAATAGCTAACTAGAGGTACCTTGACCAGCACTTTTCTATACAAACGTCTGATGACATGCCATCAGAATATTGCCAGGTTCCCTCAAAGGAAATTCTTAATGAAAGGCAATTTTTCTTTCCTTTTGCAGCCACAAGTAACCACATTTCCCCTGCGTGTAGTGCTTAATTTCCTGCTACTGATAATTGATGTCTTTAGTCCATTTGTGAATATTTAACTTTGGTTTTATCTTGGCTATAATGGAGCTACCACTTGAAGTTTATTCCATATTGCTAAAGTGTGACATTTCAGAATAGCTTTAAAACAATACATACGCACACACGCACACACACCACCATACCCAGTGTCCAATATTTCTTATTTTTTAAATTCTTATCAATGTTTCAAAACTCAAGTTTTAGAAGTGATTAATACTTCAGTGTAAGAAGAGATAAGACAGTCGGAAAAATAGGATGCATATCTTGTTACATTGCTGGACTGCCATCAAAACCAGTCAAGTATTTAATGTCCAAAATCTAGGTGTACATAGAATACTCTATGTGGCTTAGTATGGACATGATAACGGAGCCCTTTTACTTCTAAAAATCAAGTGTGTTTATAGCAAGGGTTTATCTATAGAAATTGGACCCCTAATATTAGTGTTCTCTATTATGCTACTAATCTGAAAGACTAGCTCCCAAGATCTCTTAAAATTTTATATTACCTTATACTTGTATCAAACCTACAGTGCAACAAGCAGTGGTAGTTAGGCAGTTCAAGCTACAGCCACTCTTTCTGCTTAACAGATGTTTACATGTTTTGTAAAAGACTAGGAAGCAACAATTCCAGACAGTTCCAAAAGCAGCTGAAGGACAATGATGTGGAAAAGGACATGACATTTGATTTATTTAATTAAAATATATTTTACAGTGCCTCAATTGTATAAACCACAAGCACTTGGCAAATAATTGAATTTCTTGCTATTGCAACATATAGTTTAGAAAGAAATAGTCCAGACGGAAAAGAATTATCCCATTTGGTATGAGATTCTTCTCCTCCTTGAACTGCCCAACCCTAGTTCCATAGAGATTTTCTGATTTTTTGATAAGGTGATGGTTATCCTACTTTGTATTTAATTCATTTTCCAATTCTGTTAATTTCCTAGATGCCTTTACTTTGTTAGACACATCTTGACCCTGTGAAAAGAGTCTTTGTCGCTCCCGGAAAGTCAAGTTCTCTGGTGCACCAGGTATATCTGTATCCTGACTGCAGGAAATATAAAAAATATTCAATGTTATAAAAATACATTATATTTTAAGTGCAGTTATTCTGTTTTTCTCATTAGCTTTGGTCTACAACATTCACATCCTTTTATTTAAAATCAGATAGGTTAATTACTAATTAAACATTAAAAATGGACAAATAATCAAATAGCAATTTTTCATCATTAAATAGTTCATATTATTAGAGCATTTGTTAAACATTAGTGTAGCTATTAAGAAACCTAAAATATTTTATATAGGGTGGATTCAAATTCCAGATGATTCCAATGCCCTGCTTCTGGAGTTCTACATATAAACTATCATTACTCTAAAATATTTCAATATTTTCTAAACATTCTTATTGGATACATTGCTATGTTTAAAAATATTTTAGATCCTTAAAAACCTTTAATCACCTAAACATCAACCAGGAGTATATGTTAATATCTCCTACCAATAAAGCACTATTTAAAAGCAAAGTTATTTCCATTTTACCATTTCAATTTCTTCTCTCTTGGGTCTGAATAAGATTCCTGTGAACCTGCAAGTGCTCCAGTAGATCCAGTGTAGTTTGAGCCTTTGTAAAAAGAAAGTAAAATAACAATAACTATTTTTTCTCTGAAAAGGTGCAGTGCTTAAAATGGATCTGACACTATACTTTCAGGTCAAGTCTCCTAACACTACCAGCTCCCTTATAAGAAAGGGAAAAATTATTGAAAACTGAATATAACGGCAAATATTTCTATCAAATGACAACTTTTCATCATGGACAATATAAATTAAATCAAATACATATGAAATAAATATCTAAACTTGCCAAATCTTGCGTATACAGATTGCCAAAATTCCAGTGATTTAAATGAAATTTAAGCAGTTTGCATGAATAATTGCAAAATAAGCTTTAGCCTTCCTGCTTATAAGACTGGATGAAAACATATCCAGTAACATCAGGAACTATTGCCTTTATATTTCCCAAATAATAGATTGTAAAATATTAAGAATGTGCAGAATTTGAATATATAGTTTTATGACAACTTTTCAATATATTCTTTTAACTCCATAATGTCCACAATGAATCTTTAACTCTATAATGCCTATTTAGAAATGCTATTTTTAAAATGTCTATTTTGTATACATTTTGCAGCACTGCACCTTTATACTTTGCTCTCATATGAACAAACACAATAGCAAAAACAGCAAACCCTTTACACTACCAATGAATCTTCCCCAAAGGCCACAAGATTAAACACATCATTTGCATTTGAAATATAAACTCATCCCCCACATTTCATAGATTCTCACTTCTGCTGTTTGTACTGGTTAAGTAAAACCATCTCTTCTGGCCACGAAAGGTTTGCGTTTTCAAGTAATATTTTTAGTTTTTAAATACTGCATGTGTTTTTCTTGTAAGCCTTGTTCACAAAAGCATATTATATACTCCTTCCATTAGTAGTCTTCATTTAGTTATTCAACTTAAATATTTTATAGATTTCAGCAGTATACAGCTGTATTTAATATCAGACTGGTGCCCAACAATTAGTTAAAGAGAATTTTAATGCATAGATACTTCTAAGACATCTCAACTGAATTTAGTGAGCTTATGAATTTAGTGAAGTGTGAAACTGAATTAATGAGGTAAACTTCTAGGGAAACACTAGGAATCTACTCAGAATATTAATAATATGTTAGTTAGAAATAAATTTTGCTTCATGTCCAATTTTAAGATTATATTTTTTATGTTGAAAAGTTTATCTAAACATAGAACCTCATCCACATTAGTATTAGTTATAGTTGCTCACATTTTATTCCCAAATTGAAGAGTGCCAGTCTTCTAAAGTAATCCCAACAATCTAATGGAAGGAGCTGGGAAAGTTTAATTTCGCAGAAGCAGAGTTTGCCATACATTTGTTTAAGGACAGCAATATGAGTGTTAATGAAATGAAGAGAGAAGCTGCGTAGTGATTTTGCATTATGTGCAAAGAGCTTTTTACTTTAGGCAGACATCCTTCACGGAAGATTGAAAGTTCAAATGGAATATGTGACCTGTTTATAAACTTAATTTTTTTAAAATAGTTATAATGGGATGTTATAGACTGTATACTGAGGACAGATGAAACATCAAATTATATGGAATTTTTGAATAACCACCCTTAGCTTGTTTATATATCTTAATTATGATTATTAGGTAAAGAAGCACAGAATCATAGTAGGAAGGGACTTTGGGGATAATCTAGTACAATGCTTTGCCCAGTGCAAGATGTGACAGATAACCATTTACTTTCTAGTTGAAGACCTCTAGTAGCCCATTCCACTAACTGACAGCTTGTACAAATGTGCCTTGCATTTTTCCTACTGAAAGGGTTTTTTAAAATTTCTCTGTCAAATTCCATCTACTCATTTCAGCAAAATGCTCAATCTTTCTAGACCGTTTTTAAAAAATGTTTTCACCTATATCTAAAGTATTAGATGCTTCTCATCGCTTTGTGCCATCATCAAATTTTTTTAAGAGTCCCCTCAGCATCCTCATCCAAGCCACTATTCAAAGTGTTGATCATAACGGGGCCCAGGACAGAGTCCGCCATTCAAATACTTCCAAGTTGAAGTGGAGCAACTAATAAGCACTTCTGGGTGCAGTCATTCAGCTGTTGGTTTATTTAACAGTGATATGATATTGCACTGTTTTATACACGTATTTATAATATAGCATTTCCAAAATATAAAGATTGGCAAAATCTGGGGAAACATTATATTTAAGAAGTGAATGTTAATTCTGAAGTTTCTCATCTTAACTATAATAACAACAGCATTATTATCTGCTTTGTTTTATTATAGAAAGAGCAATAGTCTGCTATAACCATTTTAGATTACAGCCTTTTTCCATGATTCCTTGACTATCTTTAGAGGAACTGATCAAACGGGGAAATCCTATAGCTATTTGTGGAACTTCCTTTAAGCCAGGATCAAACTATCGGCTGGGGTCCATTTTGAGAATTTTTGATTATTACTGACCTTTTTTTTTTTTTTGCTTAAGTATCTACTTCTATACAGGAAAACAAAACAAGCAGCTGCAAAATAGCAAGCTTCCCAAAACTCACTAATGTTCCACCTTCTTCCAAAACTATGTCAAAATATAAACCAGCTATGACCTAAAGCTTTGTAATTCTTTGACATCAGAGTTCTAGTGGATCTACTTGTGGCCAATATTATTCAGTTACATATTTTATGATGAAGGGAAAAGAAGAAAGTTTAGGAATGTAAATACGATAAAGCAAAACAACATGAATAATGGAGAGAAAGTTACTTCAGTACTGAGAAATGTGTAGTAGAAACCTCACAAAAAAGTATACTATATCTATCTACTTTGTTTGCTTTTTCTAAAACATACAGGTAGCATTTCACTTCAAATGTAATTGCTGGTTTATATACTTTCAAAGCCTTTTGCACACTGTTTACATGGCAAGTAATAAGCAAAAGCCCATTGCTTCCCACAGTGAATAAATAACCTTATTGTAGGAAACATGTACCTCAGGAATGTGAAAGCACCATGGACCAACGAAGAATAGTAATAAAAATAAATGGTGAATGAAAGAGGTGTAGATCAAAAGCCAAACCCAACAGTACTTTTAGTGAAATTTTGAGAATCATTTGCTTTCAGTATATGAAAGTAAGAATTATAGAATTTGATAAAGAAATGGAAAGACCACAGGTTTAAAATAAAATTTATAGCAACAAATCAGATTGAGAGTTGGATCACCACGCCCAAGATTGTGATCAAGTCAGAAAGAATCATGAGAGTGATTTTGTTCAGAAGAGTACTTCAGTGGGAAATTTGTAGAGCTTTCAGAGATTGTAAATTAAAATATTCCGTCTACCTTTTGTGTTGCTGGGATTGATGAAACTTGGCTTTTGTGGTGGGGGAGGGGGTTGGCTCATTTTGTTAGCAGTACTGTTGGCATTGACAGCGGAGGGCTGATATGAGTTGGACAGACAGAGGCCATCTGAGACTGGGCGTGGCTGGCGGGAGGGCTGCTGTGGCTTAGGGGGGACAGGAGGAAGGTCACCGCAAGACTTTCTTGTACTGGTGTACTTATCCTGACCTGTTGCTAGACAGGAGTCCTCCTCCTCCTCATCATTGTATGCAACAAACTTGGCAGTATAAATCGTGTCAGGAGAGAGGACCTGAGTTTTGAGGTAAGAAGTGTTTCGTTGAGGTGGGGGAGGAGGAGCATTAGATGAAAGGGGTGGGGAGGGAAATTCATATTCCCGTGGAAGCGGAGGTCTGTACAGACCAGGCTCATCGGGCTCCAGCAATCGCCGGTCTGCTTCATCATGCTGGCGGCGTCTCTCTGCTTCTAAGCGATTATAATATTCTTCTTCCTGTCGCCTCTGTTGAGCGAAAGGGAATAAAAGGATGTCAGCAAATGTCAAATACCAAACACACAAATGGAAATTTTCACACTAGAAAAGATTTGGTTAACTTTTTCTTTTTATCTAGGAAGAAAACTTTCTGCTCTAAAATACTGGTTAACTTCTGAATTTTGGGTGGAATCCACTCTCTCCAATTGCCTCTTGAGAGGCAGGAGATCCAGTGATGTAGACTTTGAGAGCAAGAGTGGGACAGAATGGAAGAAATCAAGCAGAACCCTTCCTGTTTTGATGTCAGCAGAGCCATCTTTAGAAGAGAATATTTCTGGCTCAGGTTGGATTGAGGGTTCAGGGTTGAAATACAGCATCAACGAAACCACAAAATTATCTTTGGATTCTTGTTCAGTGATAAAGTACATATTTACACTGAAAAAAGTAAACTTGCAATAAATTATTAAAGTTTAAAGGAATATCAAGAAGAAAGTGAAAAGAAAGAACGAAATGTGAAATTCTAACTTGCAAATGAAATACAGGACTTACGACAAATGAACCCAAAATTTCTGTTGCTAANACTGTCCTTAGGACATGAATGTATGTGTATAAATGCTGTTAAATTCCACAATTTTCTACAGAAACTAGGAAATAGCCATTAAATTGCAATTAAATGTATTAATACTGTACAGGGGGAAGTTATTTTAATTTTTTTGTCATACAGTATGCTTATTTTAATTGTGATGCTTTTGACATGAATAAACAAACAAACTCTACAAGTGGGATACACCAATGTTTTTGCATTAAGTGCTGCACTTTGAGGATAAACTTCCCCAAACAGATGAGGCCAGAACAACCTCTATATTTAACATATAATTTAACGCCATGCATACAGTTACTCATACGCACACCCACATACGCACACACTATAGTTCTATATATTTAATATTTTTTCTGCTTTGGTACATAAAAATTACCTGCCAATTTGTTTGAGGGCCAGAGCTGCTCTTAAAAGACTTTCACATGCCTGAAGAAGCTGATTATTTCAAGCATTTTGTTACACCCCGCCCCCCCAATGATCATCTTCTCAGAGGCCTGACTTGGAAAATACCTCTGCATAATTTCTGTAATATCACAAAGGACTTTATAGCAATAGAAATATGTGATTTCTTGTTTCCTCTAAGCAAATTACTAAAAGGTCAAGCAACTTTAAGGTTACAGTACAAGCTGATTTTTCTCATGACTGAACACAGCCAAACATGCACATATACACCACAAAATTCATCAAGTTGAGAAATTTAAAGAAAAGGCATTATTTGGCACCTGCTGTTTGTAACGACTTTAGTAAGGTTTGTATTGTGTATACAAAATATTGGTTGTGGTAAAGAAGCAAGTAGTAATCACTATCAGAAATGTAACTCTAAAACAAACATTAAATTTGAAGCTAGAAACAAAATGGTTAGACAAAGTTTTGAACTTTTTAAAATAGGCATAAAATTATGAACATTTTACAATGTGGAGGAATGTGTGTACTCTATAATAGTAGGGTTTACTAATTTAAGAAATTAAGAAAAGTTGATATTCATTACTTGTATTAAACTAAGTGTACTAAATGAAATATATCAGAAACACAACTCCATTTCTTTTGTTTCCAACTGTTTTTTTTTACATTATTTTATCTTAATTTTCTATCCTACNCAAAAAGTGCTCATATGATCTTGGGACACAGCAACAGTCATAAATATGAATTAGTTGTCAAGCATTTAAAATTTTGATCACGTGATGCTGCAAAGGTTGTAACTGAAAAATGGTTATAAATCACTTTTTTCAGTGCCATTGTAACTTTGAACAGTCACTAAATGAACTGTTATAAATCGAAGATTACCTTTATGCTGCTATTAAAACAAGGGATATTCAATACCAACAACTTCATAAACTTTCTTGTACTGAATGCCAGGATGCATTAAACTTTCAATTACAGTTTAATGTCTGAAATTACATGAATGTACATCCATTTCCCTCCTAGCATTATAAATATAATGCAGAAAAGGTTGCAATGAGGAAGAATGTAGTCAGGCTTAGCTCAGCTTTTACTTGTAACTTTACCCAACATGCAGAGCAGAGATAATGACAGTCTTTTTGTTGTTGTTGTTTTGCTTTCCTTAAAAGGGACATAGGAGTTTATGCACAGACAGACACCACTGAAGGAGCACTCCTATAGAATGATTCTTAAACCATGGCTTGACTTATATCCAATTTTTTCCCTAAAAGAGGGCTAGGCATTTTTTAAGCCATAAAGCATATTTACGATAGCAACCACCCTGAAAAAATTGAAGCTATGGTGCCTATTACTAGACATAGGATGTCAATTTACCAAAATGATGAAGCTGTACTCCATCACTACTTCTAAGGGGAGAAAAAACATTTTTCAGCCCTGCTTACCTTTGCTTTTCTTGGTTGCCAGTAGTCTATTTCCATACAAAACACAAGCAATTCCATTTTTTTATTTTCAAACCATGTCATTCCCTCACTTTTCTTTAAATTAAAAGAATACTGTTAGGGAGTCTGAAGGATAGTGAAGTTCGGTATATTGTCTAACCATAGTTTCTTTCATTAATATTAACCTTTTTCCCCCCAAAAAAATTTATCGTTTGGAACAAATGGATGAGATTTCAATCATTAGAATGATATCAGACAATATCATATATTTTTGAAATAGGAGGGACATGGAAAATTAACAATGGTATTGATAGGAAGATGAACTACAATCAAAATTATATGCTAATATTTTTCTTGGGATTCCTTCATGTTTAAATTTTTTCCTAACAACCAAAAAAACTCATGATCAGACTACTATCCATTCTCCCTGTTTAATGAACAGAGAGGATTTTAAATTATTATTTAAACCCACTTAGTGCCATTGCTTAATTGGATATGGTTTCTTCTTAATTAAGTTCTTAATGGTTCTAAATCTGACAGCTTTTCTTTCTACCTTTTTTAAAAAAGGATTTCAAAACTTATTCTAATTGCTTTAAAAATAATTTTATCCCTTTAAACTTAATTCCTGGAGGAGATTTCATTTTGAATTTCTTTCATTATGCTTTGATATCTGAGGTCTTTATATTTTTCTTGTACTCTCCCAGCTTCATATAAACTTTCATTTATTTGGATTTCATTTACTAGTTTATATACTGCCTGCTTCTCAAAACCTCTTGAAGAATAATGAAATATATTTTTCTTTTCCTTAAATTGCAAATCTACAAATAGGGTGAGTTTGGCTTTTTATTTTAAATAGTATACAGAATTCAATACAGTACTTGTTAAGAGCCACAAAACCCACTGTAGACAATTCTATCCCTAGCTTTGTTGAAGATTTAGTAATACCAGCGGGTCAAATCAATTTAAGTGAAGTATACAAAGTTATAGAAGACTGAGTGAAACCTTTTGCTCAGCCTCTCGCTTTGTCCGCTCCTCCTCTTGGCGACAACGCTCTTCTTCTTGCCTGGCCCTATCTTCTGCTTCCCGTTTGCGCATTTCCTCCAATTGCTGCTGCCGTCTACGCTCCTCATCCTGTAACTAATGAAGATTTATCTTGTGTTTTACCTCAGATCCTTTCGAAGACAGAAATAATATTTCATGAAGAAAAATACCCATTACTGTTCAAAAGAGACTTTTTAAAAAAAGTTAATTAATAAATTATTTTCTCCTGGGAATTTTTTTTTTGCATTTTGGGGAAAAAACTTATAAAGAAAATTCAAAAAAGAAATGTATTTTCCCCTGAAGAAATGCTATTCATCAGGAGTGTCCAACCCGTGGTCCTTGGGCTGCATGCAGACCTGAATAGCTAGTAATGTGCCCCCCCCTCAAGATTGTAAATTTTAACCTTATGTGATTTATATGCATTAACTATATTGTATATTTTATATGCAGCCAAGACCATTCCTCTTCACTCAATGCAGCCCAGGCAAGCTAAAAAGTTGGACACCCATGCTATAGATTTTGTAGTAATTTCTGTTCTGAGACATTGTTTTTATAGTTCAAACTCTATGTTTTACCATTGTTCTTCTGGGAAGATGCACAAACTATGGCCAATGATAAGCTTCTATTCTTTTCCCACTAGATAATATTTCTCTGATCTTGAAAGTAAACCCAACATATCAGCTATTTAAGCTGCCCATGATTTCTTTTTTTCATATAGTAATGTTTTTTTTACTGCAAAGGAGCATTTGGAATCTCTGTAAAATAGGAAAAGTAATGAAAATCCATGCTTCAAAGTGCAAATATTTAATCACATTAAATAAGGATCTCTAGCTGGTTCAAATAATCTTAAATTATCAAACATCTTAAACAGTTCCAGAAAAGTGCTCCTCAAAAAATGACTATCATCTCCTTTAAACACCTGTGAGAAGAAGTGTTACAAAAGAATAAAGGAGAACTACTGGACTCTGTCCCACATTTTTTAAAACAGCTAAAAAATTATACTGTAATTCCAAACATTGCACCAAGTGGTGTTATTTTAAAGGGGGAAAATCTAAATTAGTATTTTTTATAAAAAGGAAGGAGGTAAAATCTTTAATTATAATTCCATTTGATAGGTTTCTTGTGTCATGATTCAACTGCACTTTTAAATATATTGAGTTCAGTAAATATGAATTAGACACTGAAAACTCTTTACGTTGTTGAACTGTAATATGTATAGTTTGCAATTTAATTCTCAAAATGATTAGTTTTAAGAAAGGGGAATTGAATATTGCACTATTTACTCAGATCTGTTTCAACATCTGTCATAATAATAATAGATTAATAAAACTTATAAGTACAATACATCTTATTTTGATTTCAGTTAATAAAATAGCTGAAACATGAAATTATAAAACTATGTATGTATGTATGTATGTATGTATGTATGTATGTATGTATGTATATGTATATATATGCTTTTAGTGTAACATACAGTTTTACTCTTCCATCAATATAGGTAACAGCAATGAGTGTGAAATAATTTTTATAAAAATATTTTAAATCATCTAAGTTCAAAGGTTTAACCCTAAAGTTCTGTTCCAAAAACTAAATCATTAAAACTAACTGTAAATGCCAAATTATCAAAAGCTTAAAGAAGAAAAATAATATATTGGAATGCTAAAATACATTAAAATATATGATTTAGAGAAATCCTTTTTTTTTTAAAAAGCATGGGGAAATGAACAATGGAAACTCACCTGTACAAAATGTTTTCAAAATACTGATATGTTAAATTGTTAATATAGGGTTCATTTAACTGTAGTAGTTCACAAGTAAAATATGCAAACAGAATACAACTTTAAAACAAAAGTAGAAGAAAAAAAATTAGGAGCATTTCTCAAGCATTAGATAAGTGTCTCTTGCTTACCACTAATTTAATGTATTAGTCCTTGCCCTGAAGCACTCTAAAGATAAACAAATATCCAATGCACATTGGATTATCATTAATTAAAAAGAAAAAGAAAAAAAGTATTAAGGAAAGGCATCGAAGAGAAGAAATAAGAACATACCAAATCTAGAACAGAGATTGCTGGCAAAGCAGTCTGCTGCAGGTAATAAGAGAAGGAAAAAGAAAGATGCACAGTGAAAATAAGGATAAATTTAGGTTGCACTATGCCAAAATAATTTCTTTGATTCGTTACTAGAGCTGAATAAAAATAAAAGTCAGTGTGACAGTCTAATATTATGTTAGCAAATCTCTTTAAATCAGAAAAGGAGATTTTTTTAAAATATATTTTCTGTACACTCTGTTAATTCATCTATTTTTGCTTAAAGATTTACACGATATCAAGAGAACAGAGTATTGTGGAAAAATGGCCAACTGGTTGTATTATTTTAAATTATCAATAATAAGGAGCAGCTCTAATGGGAGTTCTAAATCTCTGCAAAACAAATACAAACTATATTTTGCAACTATTTAGAAAAAGAGTTTAACAAAGCATATGGTGCAAATTTGATAATAGTAATGTCAAGCTGCTCAATAATGAAGATAACATGTTTTAAAATTATACAGTATGTAGATTTTTAGCCATAAAGTTAGGTTAAAAAGCTGAATGGCAACATTAGAACTAGCAACAATTTATGGATAGTTGTTACATTCATTTTATCTATCTAATTTTCAGTATAGAAAAGAAAATAAATAAATAAAAACAAAACTGCATTTAGCAAGAAAATGTGTTAAAAGCAGCAATGGAAAGTAAAGCTTTTAAAAACAGGAAAAGAAGCATAATGTAGAAAGTAACATTGCTGTAAAAAATAACACCCAAGTCGCTGAAATCAAGTTGCTGTTATAATTTGATCATTTATCAATGTTATTTATAAAGCCCCTAATACAGATTCTACAATTTTTTTTAAAAAAAGTATTGGATTGTTTTTGAAGCTGTATTCTTAAAAGCAGATTTAAAAGCTATTTTTCCTGATACAGACAACATTATTACTCTTGGAATGAAAATTCCAAATCCTGTTATGCTATGGACTAACAGATGAAACATAAATTTAAAACAGCTTTTAGTGGTCAAAGATTTAAAAAAAGCTACACTAATGTTCTGGAATATTACATATGCATCACACAAATTAAAATTATAAAAAAATAAGAATAGGGATTTTGTTTTTGAAAAAAAGGGAACTTGAAAGGTGGTTACCTCCCCCTAGCAATTTCTAAGTAATAGCTTGCAACACCACTTATTTGACAAATCAGAATAGTCAACCATTATATGCAATGAAAGACAGGGACATTATGAGAGTCCAGTCCTCCTTTATCCTATAGTGATAACTAATTTATATTTTTGCTAGCAATATGCAGGAATTTTAGCCAATGAAATGATTTTTAAATGGATTATCTCATTTTACCCTCACTCTTCTCTCAGCTTCTAGTCGTTGCATAATCAGCATAGTATCGATGTCATCATCTTCTTCCTCATCTTCATCCTCATCTTTTTGCTTTGACTCTTGAAGTCGTTTCTGGAATTGCCACTCCAGCATGAGCTTGCGCAGGCGGTCATTTTCTTCGCCTGTTCGATCTGGCTTATTTTGAAGTTCTTGAATCTCTTTGCTTAGCATATCCACAATATGCATCTGCTGCTGCTTCTCCAGCTTCTCCTTAGCATCTCTTTTCCAGGGATCAGGAGACAGACTATCACTAGAGGACAGCTCTTCTTTGCTTATGGTGATATATTGGAGATCTCTTCGTTCAATGGTTCGGGGTTGTTGTTGGGGCTGCAATTCTCTAATCACCGTCTCATGAGACCTCTGCAGTGTTGAAGGCTTCTCCGGTTTCACCTGCTGAAGAGGAGGAGGCAATGATTGAGCTGGCATTAGTGGCTGAGCACGCATTTGCCCCAGTTTTCTTTCCTGCTCTCGACGTTTTCTATCTCGTTCTTCCTCCAAGCGTGCTTTTTCTTTTTCATACCATCTCTGATGTTCTTCTCTCTTTTTGCGCTCTGCAGCAGCAGCAACCTGAGATGACTGTGACCCCAATTGATTTGCAGGTGGAGGTGGTGGTGGGAGAGGTAAATCCATTTGCAGTCCGTCAAAGTCAGCTACATAGTGCATTGGTGGGGGAGGGGGAGGGGGAGGTAGGTCTGTCCTTGTGGACTGAGAAACTGCCAGCAACATTGGTTGAGTAATTATAGGTGTTTTCCAACGGCCAGGTCCACTTTTGGTTAAAGAAGATCCAGAGGAGATACATTTAGAGGAACTGTTTAGATGCTCCTGGCTTGATGTGCTAGAATCCACAGAAGAATTCATCCATGGATCGCTATCTGATTTTCTTTCAATATATCCCATATCTTTTTGCATGGCAACTTCTAATTGATTCCTTTCTGCCTGATAAATGTTATCATCCCGTAGTTCCTCTTCAGAACGGGTTACACGCTTTAAAAAAATAAAGAATATAACATTAGTTTCCACATATTAATAGGCCATACAGCAAGAACCAAATGGCAGCTTATTACTTTTGAACAATGATTATGAAATGTTTATTCATTTGTTCTTAAAATCAGCATTTTTAAAAGTGGTAATACTTTACAAGTTTGAAGTCTTACATTCAGCTTTTCTTTCCAATCAAGTTAAACAAACTCTAAAACAGCCTGAGACAAGATTCTGAAACTATCTTGGCATATGTTCAACATCAGCAGAATCTATGCTGTATACTTTTCCTCAGAATAATGCCAAGCTATTATCATTTTTACATTTTGTGCTCCCAGAAATATTTAGGTCTAAGAGCTTACATATAACTAACCTGTCATTCCTCCCACTGCTTTGGCAACTTTTATTAAAATTATAGACATTCACCAATATTGCAAAGAAAAAGGAACTATTTGTTCATACACACACACACACACACTTGTTAATTTCCTCTTCATTTTTGAAAATGATTTAAATGAAGCACAAATTCCTTATTAAATGCTCCAATGTCAAAAATACTATGCTGCTAACGTCAAAGATTCTGCTAAATACAAAATAAAACTGCTGTATAGAAATGTAATAATAATAATATACCACATACCTTAAAATTTCTAATCTGTTTATAAGCTTTGCAAACTTTGCTGAGTACTTCTACAATTATTTTAAATACAAAATAGACCCGAAAGAAGAGCTGGCAGCTATGAACAAAAGCAACATTTCTCTACTTCTCTTTCAAAGACCTCAATTATGACCGAAAAATGCTTTGTTTTCAATGAATGCATTTATTATGCTCTATTAGTCCAAAAGCACTAAATACAATGCACATATTAAAATTCATTGACAGATTAGTAATGTCTTGCACATTTAAAATAAAATAAAAATAAACCAGGCATTCTATATTTTGTAAAAATTAACATACTCTTATTCCTATACAGAAGTTTTTTCTCAAAAGCTCTAAATGTGATTTTTTTTAAAAAATATCAGACTTCTGCATTTCAACCATCAACTCCAAATATAAATTGACAGCTTTTCAAACACAATACAAGCAAACTGCAGATTTCAAATACAATATAAATGAATGCAGGATTGTAGTCTAGAAGCTGGCCAAATATTTTAGGTATAGCAAAATATAATAAAATATGAAGGGATTTTTATAACAAAATACTTGATCAGTCCTAGTTGTAATTCTTATTCTATTTACAATCTCCAAACTACTAATATTATGAAGCAAATTATTTCTAACCTGATTTGCATTATTGATATAGTGATTACTTTCAGTGGGAATTTGGGGCTTTTCTTCATAATTTGCCCATTGATTCTGAATGGGACCCATTCGATCCTGAGACCTGGAGGCTGGGAATGTGAAATACTCTCTGGTATAAGTTTGTGTTGGAATTGGATATGCTTCAGGTCTAGCTGGTAGTACCTGTTCCTGTGTAAATATGGAAAGATCAGTTATAGATGTCAAAAATAATATCAAGCATTTTTATAAATATTGACAGGTGTTTTTTTTTTACTACGTCTAACCTCTGTGCAAAGATTTCCAGTAGACACTGAAGTTATCTTATTTGTAGTTCCTCCAGTATAAGCCTTTTTGGTCCCTGGACTTGGAGGCTGATCTATTGAGAGCAAGGAGATTTAAATGTTAACAAATGCAAAATCAACATTCAAATAAGGAAAACAAGGCACACGGGATTTATTAGCTCTTCTTTAGCGATGTTTTCCACTGTTGTGCCAACCCTTTGGAACAGTCTCCCGCATAAGATGTACCCCCCCCCTGTCAGTCAGAAGGGCAGTAAAATTTGGATTCCCCCCCCCCTTGGGCTTTGAGCTCCTGTGTTTGTGTGTGGGAGGGTGGTATGAATGTAATTACTCATCTAAATTTGTTCCCAAATCTAGGATATTGGGAATACTGATGCACTATCCAGGGTCAGTGTTTGAGTGTTGCATATATAAATATAGATTATTTAAATAATTAATAAGAAAATAAATTCAATTTTTACTAATTTAATTTATATGATAATTAGTTATATAAATTCCAATATTTAGATTTATTTCAGGTATTAATTCACAGAAGCAGTTGTAAGCTGGTGCTTGCTTACTTGCTACATTGGGACTAGATCGGTGATCGGCTCGATTCTTCAGTAGTCTATCATCCCCTGGTAATTTCTTTGGTTCATTATATTCAGTCCAAGGCAGCTGAGGGCTTTCAGGTGATCCATTCTGAGCAGAATTGTTATATAGCTCAAAACCTTCACTCTTTGGTCGGGGTTTACCTGAGCCACGACGATCTGAAACTGAACAATGAATGTGTGTGTGTGTGTGTGAGAGAGAGAGAGAGAGAGAGAGGGGGGGGGGAGACAAAGACATAATAATTCTTCTGGTCTGCAATGAAGAGACCCATTTTTAAATTCTCCCTTAACCTTCTTCATATGTGCAGTTTCAAAAAGCAAAATTCATGGAAGTAGAGTCAGTCAGACAAAAAAATTAGCTACAAATTTGCTTGCATTTCCTGGTCCTATAGAACTCAAATGGAATGCTCTTGACTTTTTCCAGTCTATACTACCTACATAATGTTCCAGTTTATATTCCTAGTTTCTCTACTAAAATTACAACCATGTTCTATAGTTGGAAAACATCATTGCTTGAGAGTTTCAAGAACAGCTAAAATTCACCAACAGTAGCATATTACACAGATCTGTCTTCAGACAAATTTTACACATGCCAAATAATATCATTAGAAAAAACAGACCTCTTAACATTCAAATTGCTTTACAACACAAATCTCTGCTTTTTCATCAAATCATTATAATTTCCTTTTAAGGAGTATTGATATTATTCTGAGGATATAAATCTTACTCAGTTAAGAGGGCAATCCTACATGGAATGTTAAATATCCCATTGAATTAAGACTATGCATCCATTGAATTCAGTAAGATTTTAAGAGTAAACAATAAGATGCTTGCATAGTAATACTTGCAAGTCCTGCTATGGATACTCAAAAACAGGCAGTAGTAGGTTAATCCTGAAAAAACTTTCCAGGATTAAAACTTGTTTGTACCAAATGGAGACCACTGGAAAATTCTACAGCAGTACACTAATCTGGAATGTTGAAAAAACATCTTAGAAAAAGGAAGCGGCAAGCCAATTCCATGTTATTGTTTAGAGCAGAACCTAACTGGTTCTTTACATTTTTAGACTTCTTGAGGGAGAGAGCAATTAGCATATCACATCACATATTAGGTACTTGAATATGCCTTATTTTTATACTAATTTTTAATGTAGATTTTATATGTGGACAAATGTATTTTAGTTGTTTACCTCTTTGCATCATTGGAGATGGTTGATTTAACAATGTTGCTAAACCATGGTAAATTGCTCCTTGTTTTGCCACTTCTAATGTGACTACTGTTCCTGTTCTTGTCATCAGTTCTGCGGCTCTGAGTAAAATTTGGAAATACAATGGTGAGTTTGCAAGAACCAGCAAGAAACTATTATTGAGCAAATTCAAAGCATTTAGTCAGTAGAAAAATGTACACAATGAATATAAATAAACTAATTATGAGAATCCAATAGAACCATTTACAAAATAGAAAAGAAATAGAAGAAACACATCAAATCCTTGAAACTATTTTTGTAATTTTAGCAAATAATTTCTATCTGGCTAAGTTTAGCAGGGAAAAAAAATCAGAATGTTCTTGTCGCTTTGGGTTTTGGCTGAAGTAAAACTTCCAAGGACCCTGGAATAATTTTGGCAAGTAAGTACGAAGCATACTTTCTCTCACTTCTGTTGCTTAGATTATTACACTAGCCTGTGCATCGCTTGATCTTCCTTCTCTTTCCTGTCTCCCTCTCTTTCCTGTCTGCCTTCAGCTATAGTTACTGATGCCTTTGACATTTTTTGTTCACTTCCCTTCGGCCCCAAAAATTCTGCCTGAAACAATGGCAGTTTGGTCTACAATTGAAACAGAAAAGCCCTGTTCCATCCCATATCTAAATAAAATATTGTAATATTTGATTTGGGTACAAACCATCTGAAATCAAATGTTACTTTTTTGTTTATTTCCCATAATTATGTGCATAAGACTCATTTATAAACAACGATATTTGCATATTAGGGACAAGAACTGATTTTTTTGGCACTATGTTCGAGTTATAATGAGGCCCTTTGGGTTCTATAAGGAATATCATAATAAAAAACAAGTGGATTATGCCATATATTTTTCACAACCCGGCAAAAAGAATGTATTTATATATAACTAAAATATCTGTTGTATCTGTTTTGTAACCTTGAACTGGGCTAAATGCTCTTCGGAAGGGAAGGGAAATTTCTGATGCTTATTGCCAGCTTCCCACAAGGAATATCAATGGGGACGTCGACAGGAAGTCAGAAATTGATCCCATTCTGTATTTTTGCCCACATGTGGTCATTCTGTTCTCTTTGTTAGGTAAGAAAATGAAACAATGATCCAATAAGTTACAAGTTGTTTAATTCTCCTTAAAATTCTAATAGTGGTACTATAATCTGCAATACAATGCTCAAGTATACTACTCAATTATATTATCTCTTACTCAACAGAAAGATATGAGAAGTAGTTATGGATATTCTTCACACATTTTATAACTTCCAGAAATAGTGAAAGCTAAAATAGTGCTTAAAACTTTTGTGTACCCTTTTGCTGTTTAATTATTTCTTCATAAATATAATCTCTGACCTTGAGTTCCCACTCAAGTCCTAAGAGTCACCATCAGGAGAACACTGGACAACAATAGTGTGAATGGCAGTGTTGCAAGGGTGTCACTGTTCTAAAAAAAAGAACACTACTACTTGCCTACAGTTTATGAAAGACAAGAAAAGCTATGGATGGATGAGATCAAAACAGAACTTTTTGGCTTAAATAAAAAGCATTATGTTTGGCAAAAAATAGACATTGTATTCCAGCATAAGAATTTTTATTCCATGTGTAAAACATAGTGGCAGTATCAAAGCAGTTTAAGCCTGCTTTGCTACCCTGGGCAGGGATGGCTTGCCATCATTGATGGGATATAAATTTTGAAATGTATCAGCAAATTCTATTGGAATCTTAATGTAATGATTAAGGTGATTAAAAAACACTGGAGGCAATAAGCTGCTGCCCACATACTTCTGCCAGACACAAATATGTAGCTTTGGACCATTCTCCATTATTAAAAAATGAAGAAGTATAATTTGAAAAATCAAGAGTTAACAAACTTTTATTTGTTTATTTTATTTCTATGGAAATAATGTCAAAGGAACAGTGGTGGATAATATTTATGGCATTGAGTTATCCCATATGGAATTTGCTGTGGCGAATTGTCAAGTAGTGAGTTGGTCATAGCAAGATGGGTATATATATATATAGTTCTGGGTGAAAATGATGCATTTCAGCCTTTATGGTATGTGCAATAATAAATTGAGCTATGATGGAGAAACATAAAATAGGTAAGAAGAAAAAATACAGAAAACAAAAAAGTCACACCTGTTTTACATAATGCTATGTAAATATCTGCTATGTTTACAATTTCCAGAGAGTAAGATATACCTTTCTTGAGAAAGTCCAACCAAACTGCGCCCATCCACACTAAGCAACTGATCCCCTGCAGCCAATCGACCATCCTGGTTACATATTTGACAAAGTAATAGTTTTATTATTTCACAAAACATGAAAATAGATTTCATGCAGTTTAAAAATATTTGAAATTAAAGCACAAAATAAACATTTTTTACAATAATTATAAATAATACTAACCACATCTGCAGCACCACCTTTTACCACAGATTTGACATAAATGCCAAGTTTATCTTGACCAGCACCCTAAAAAAAATATAAAGCAATTTTTAAAAAATAATAATGCTAAGGCTATTTTAAGGACATTTTATAAGAGAGTGGTCTAACTGATTTAGATTCTCTTATTTACAAATATCCATACAATGTCTCACAATATAAGTTTTTAAAGAGTTGTAGCAATCTTAGGAAATATATTTAACTATAAATGTATTATAGAATATAATGCATTTACTGTAACACACTACAGAAGACAGCACAGTTTTAGCAACAAAATAAAATAAGTAGCATTGCTTAACAATGAGAGATGGTGGGAATTCAAGCTAGCAACCTCTGGAGTTTATTCCTTCTAGCAATATTTTACACACTTCTATAAAATTTACCATATCTTATGTATCACCTCATTGTCAGTAATAAAGCCATCTCAACTACCATATGTATAAAACATTTTACAGACTTTTAAGAATTCTAACAAGTATAGCCACTATTGCTGTTTTTGTATTTCAGACTGGAATGAAAGAAATTGCATATCTGGAAGTCAGTCTATAAAGTTTAAGGTAAATTATTCCTAAAAGAAAAGGTAAAGGTTTCCCTGTCCAGTCATGTCCAACTCTAGGAGGCAGTGTTCACCTCAATTTCTTAGCTGAGGGAGCCAAAGTTGTCCAAGACATTACCATGATCATGTAGCCAACAGGACTACCTGCTCTTAATTCAGACTGTTGGAAACAAACTGTGCTATCATTTTTATTGTTTTGGTTATGGATATCAATTATGAGAAATTTCCTTTACAGAAGCTGGGGTGCAAGTACTAGCATTTGCAATAGTTGCTTCTTGCTCCAGTAGAAGCCAATGCAAACACTTAATTCCTGGACAGTCTGAGGAACTTTTTGACTACTTATGTACATGTTTTCTACAATGTTCCTAAATAAAAAACTCTGAATGTATTTAGTCTAAAAATTGTATATGTTGTCTGTGATGATTGTCTTTTTCCACTGATTATATAGCTTGGGGAAAGACACATGTGCAATGGTAGAGAAGAAAGTGAGCAGGTAAATCACCTGAACCAACTATGATGATGAATGGGTTGACCATTTTCACAGAGAAATTGCTCACAGCCACTAAATTAATACATCATTAAAGGTTTCCTAATAGCTGTTACCACTGGAATATATCAACTCCCATAATGATTTGTAGATTCACATTTCATTTAAAATACTGTTCAATAAGAATATGATTCTGCTTTCCTTAAACATTTCGACATTTCACGTGAATACAATAAAAAGATGATTCTGCAGAATTACACAACACTCTGTATTTAATAAGCATTTAAGGGGAAAAGAGTTTCCTCTAGCATTGAAGATCAGTGAAGAATATTTCTGTAATACTTCATTAGAAATAGGTAGCGTTTTGTATCTGAAGAGTGGTGTATCACAACAATCCTGGTAAAGCTCAAAGTACTTTAAAGAGTTGCTGATAAGGCAAGTACACGAGCACCTCTGCTCTTGCTTTGTTCTTGTGATTTTTGTCATCCAATCCGAAGTACAATACTGCACAAGCTTAGCATGCAACAGCCATATCCCTTTCACTGGAAATATTGCAAGGTAAACTTTGATTAACTCAGTTGCAGGGGAATGGTCAGAGTAGAACAAGATTTCATAAGTATAAATCTGATGTGTAACATTTGAGATGAATTCCAACTAGCTTGTAGGTTAATAGCCAGAGGAATGTTTTAATATTGCAATGAAAAAAAAATCATGAACACTCAGCAATTCAAGTGACAGAAAAATCAGTTCAAAGGATTTTTAAAAATTACTCCCTCCAGAACTAAACTAGAAAAAGATATAACTCCACTACTTTTATAAGGCCTTATTACCCCAAAACATAATAAAGTATGAAGATTCATAATAGCTCCTTATAAATGTTAAAGATTCTTCTATTAGATGTCATTTGATTAGTTTCCCATTTCCTCCTAATAATCTGTACAGTAGTAGTAGTTTTCAGATGATGCAAGGGAGTACAGAGGAAGCAATTCCAGTGAAAATGGCCTGCCTCCTCTCTCTGGTGAGTGGCTGTTACAAATTTTGAGGAAAGCCTTATTTCTATCTAATGAATTTATCTGCTTTCCCCAAGTGTGTGTACAATGGTCACTTATCTGAGTTAAAAAACAAGTGCTTAAATACGAATTTCCAGCTTCTATACATTATTTGGAAGAGGCTAATAAACAGAATGTAATATTAACTGAAAATTGTAAGTAAGACAAGTTGAAAGGAAAAGTAAGAAAAATCTCAGGATTAAAAAAAATCAAATGTGATCAAGCACTTTAAAAAGAGGGAAGGTTTACAAGTAAAGTGCAATTGTATCTTTTTTATGAATTGGAATAAAAATAGGGTTTCCGCTATTTTAAGCATGCCTAACATTATGCTGTATCCTACTTATACTGCTCCATACCTAAAAATACACATGGAGACAGATAGACATCTGCACACATACACACACACTCACACACATATAGCATAGATAAGGTTAAGCCTTTTTAAGATTATTTAATATAAAATATTTTTCAAGTTTCCCACTGAATTTTCCCCCTTGTTTTCTTTACAATTTCAATCATTTTAAACTGATTTTTCTTTTTTAATCACTTTGTTTGTAAAAGCAACTGAAAACAAAGAATAGCAAGTGTGATCAGATAAAATTGGTTGTTGTCAATCTATTAAATAACCTGTTAAGACATTTTAAAATAATTTTGTTGTCTAACATCAGAATCAAATGATGCCAACATTTATTTTACTTAAATGAAAATTTATGAAATGGGAACGTTTGCAAAGTCTGTTAATTCTTTTGCTTATTAATGTCAAATTATTCAATTTTGTATGCCAAGGATTTAAATGTACTTCCATTTTATCAAGTAACATGAAAAGTGCTTAAATTAGACATGGTTTTTCAATGATTAATACAATAATTTCTACTTACAAATTACAGAAATTAAACCCTGCCACTGTACTTTTCATTTAATATCAAATAATAGGAACAAGCTTTATATTCAATTCATTTGCTTTTTTAATGCCATAGCTTCAAATAGATAGTAATATTATAAAAGCAGTGCTCCAAATTCATTTGCCAAACAATTTTGGATTAAATTGAAGATTAGCAGGAATATTAAAACTATAAGTTTATAAGGAAACTTTTCCTGTAGAGACTTACCAAGGATTCTGTTCTTCCAACGACTGAAAACCACATTGTAACTCCAGAAAATATAACTCCTCACTTGTTTCTTAGACTTTAACCACAACTTTCAGTCTGCTAGATTTTCCAAAACACCCAGCAGGATAATTTGGCCAGGAACTGATGCTGCATAACATCTATCAACACTAGCTACGATCAATATAATAGTCCAACTCATACACAGCTTTGCTACTCTGATTTTCATTTAAACACTTTATTAAAAAGATACTGCCTAGAAAAAAAATCAATCACTCTATTGTACAAGATATAGAAAATCCAAATTAAACAGGAAGTAAAGTGCTGGCTCTGAGATTTGAAGAAATCAAATGCTAGCTCCTCCCCTCCCTCCCTCCTCCCCCCAAGTGATATATTACTAAAGTAAACTGCATGCAAACACTGCTTCCAACTCATCTGGATTTCATAAAATGTAACCATAGTGTGGTTGGAAGTTAAGCAGCATTTAACATCAAAACATATTTTAGACATAATACTACTAAATTTTGCCCTCACTCTCAGAGCATTATTATCCCTGAACCCCAAATAAGAAAATTTCTGCCACCCAAACTGTGCTTCTTGGTACTGTTATGGGTAAGCAACCTTCTATGTGTCGGCATCTAGTTTGCCGCTGGAATTCATCACAGCAACAGTAGGAAATCACTCAGAACACACTGGAATTATAACTATTGCCCTTCAGCTCAGAATGGCTATACTCATATAGAATGCCAATGCTGTAAACAATATGCTAACAGAAACATAGCTGGCCTTTTAGACATTTGATCCAATACCACATCCTTGTCATTCACCATTAATGACAGCTTTAGTTAATCCCCCTTTAACTGAAAAGTGATTGGGTATTGTAGTTATTATTTCAGGCATATTATGAATTAGAAGTATAGTCTTCTTTAGCAGTGAAGTCAGTGGAATCTCACTATTCCAAACATGAAAGTGATGTAGTGATTGAATTGATTTAAAGTTGGTTAATTCAGAAATTAGTTTTAAAGAGCAGACAACAATTTGCATTTGGTTAATCAATAACAAGACAGGAACTCAACAATTTCAAATTGCCAGATAGTTCTCAATTGCTAAAATGCCATTACAGAATATATTAAGACCAATGACATCCCTTTGTAATTTTCTTGTTCTTTAATTTTAGATAATAGCACCTAAAAGTACCATCTCTTTAGCAGAAAGTCTGATATTTATCAACTCTTTATTACAGAACATTTAAGAGGCATTTAAAATACTTAAGATGGTTATACATTAATCCTATTAAAATTATAAAAATGTGCTTCTTGTCTACTAAGGTTACTTTAACTAAGTTTTAATTCTCTACTAGAGGAATTTTGGCTACAAGAGAAAAACAGTCCTGGTTCCCTATTGATACTTTCCCAAAACCTGTTTCTTAATAAATAAACAAAAATTAATCAATGTGATCAGATTAATAGAAATTTTAGGAGCCTAGAACAGAATAATATATCAAACTTATAAAAGAGTAGTGAAAATGTTCACTTGTTAATAAATTATTCTAGAAACTCTTCAAAACCAAACATTCCTAGAAGAAGTCAGAGATAACCTTACAATGTATTCTGTTTGCATCTTAATGCAAAATGTTCAGTGACTTAATAGTTTTTGAGACAAAAAAACAGCAAATTCATTTCAGTGGTGCAATATTACTGCCAGAATAACATTTAGAAATTAGTTACATACTATTTAAGAGAAATAAATATCAGACCAACATCCATGTGAACTCTTCCTTAAAAATCAATAACAAGAAATTTCATTTGTTCATTTGCTATTTATGTATTTCATTCCTTATTAGATTTATATCTCATCTTTTCTCTGAGAGCTAAACATTGTATACATAAAACTTAGGGTATGGTTCCATAAATAAAAATACATTTACAGAATAATCTAAAAACACGAAGTTTCAAACAGTATGTTGCATTAGGAGGTGCTTTATTTTTAGTTACATGAATTTAGTATTTTTCAATATTGGAGCAGTGCACCATCTGCTGGGTGAAAACTGTTGAGTCAAGAATTTACTTTAGATTACACTCTGGTTGCTACAAACTTGAAAATCAATAAGCAAGCTTTTCTTGTTTGGACAATATAGATGTATAGCCAATGAGATATTTTAAAAGTAAAGCCTCTAATAAACTGAATACAACCTGATGATTTCATGAAAATATTCATGTGGTTTTCTTGACAACAATATGTAACTAGTTTGTTGTTGTATTCTTCCTGATTTCATTTCTTTTGGGGGGGGGGGAGGTGGAGTTTCTAATCTATAATCATCCATATTTTAGCTAAATTGACCAGGATTTCAACTTCTAGCTGTGACATCAGCAAAAACTGTCTCTAATTCAAAAGCTGGGGGCAGTGGAAAGAAGAAAGACAAAACAGACATTTGTTTGTGAGAAAAGCGTTGATCTTAACCAAGTGTCCAAACAATCTTGTTGTGTTGAGCTTAGACACCTGGAATCTTGGGAAGCCCAAGTATGTGCCCATTCACCTGAACAGCCATTTTGCATCTTTAACTAATTTTCAGCTTTTGGGATTCTACCTTTAAGTCATCTGTGAGGTAAAGAACAAGTTGGTCTGCAAGTGTCTCAGGATTAAGAAAGGCTATTTTCATGTAGAAAAAAATATACCATACAATATATGGCACTTATTTTTTCCACATGGGAAATGCCCTGTTTCTCTCATACTAACAGATTTCAGTTACATCTAACAAAAAAATCTAGTGAGGTTGCATTGCCTTTTATCTTTAGCAAGAAATATCATGATGGACATCACTACCTGCTTCCATACCAGCCAGCCTCCTTATTAAGATAAAGTAGAGACACCTCTTGTGTCTCATCTGTAGAGAAAGAGCAGCTGCCCAAAAAATGAAATATTTTTAAAAAACTAATCAAACAAGTTTTTTAAACTTTCTGTTACTCTATAACTGCTTCCAATATTTATTCACATTAAGCTACACATGATCTGTTGTTATCACTTCAAATAATAAGTTTCATATCAATAAATAATTTAGTACCTTAGCAGCAACTATGCTTAGTCCCATCCCGTTTTGTTTCTTCAGTGTTACAGTAATTATTTCAGGTTCTTTCCTCAGTGGCTGAGCCTGATGAAACAAAATAAAGAGAAAATATTGAAAACCGGCTAGAGCACTTCCTGAGAAATACTTTTGATTTTTTAAAAAAAACACTGTCATTATCCTGTTATCTTAATTATTCCAATACTAAAGGGTAATAAAAAAGCAACAATGACTTATTAGGGGAATGCTTTTTTTTCCACTGTAAGAAAAAGTTGGGGAATCCTACATTCTAATCTTTAAATATTTTCACATTAGTACAAATGTCATATTTAATTGCATAGTTTAATGTATCTATTTCTGTTGTCTTTCCTGTAATATGAATACTTGCCAAATCTGCATTGTCTTGTAACAGATGGCTCTCATAATCTGCACCTTCAAAATATATTGTCCAAGTTCCTGGTGAGCGTGGATGAGGTGTTAACCTGCAAAAAGCTAAATGAAAATGTTAATGGATAACAAGATTTTTCTTTATGCTCAAATAAGTTAAATAGAACACTAGAGAGACCTCCAAAAACTTACTCCATAAAGGATTCATTACTAAAAAAAATATTCGGCATCACTTTGGTAAATACATTTATTTAAATTGCAGTTATACCAGTTAACCTACACCAGTGATGGCAAACCTTTTTTGGCTGCTGTGCCAAAAGTGGGGGGAGCACAGGGGGTTGTGCGCCGGTGTGCCATGCCGATAATGCTGTACATGCATGCCCACCAGCGTGCGTGCATGTGTGCGATCAGTGACACAACTCCTGCTTTTGCTGCTGTTTTTTCGCCTTCCCCAGGCTCCAGAGACTTTCTAGGAGCCTAGGGAGGGCGAAAACAGCCCTGCCAGATGCCCTCCAGAGGCCTCAGGAGCTTCCCTGAAGCTTCTGGAGGGCAAAAAATGGACCTATGGGGAACCCAGAAGTTCAGGAATGATGACTTCCGGATTGTCCATAGGGCCAGTTTTTGCCCTCCGAAGCCTTCAGGGAAGCTTCCTGAAGGCCCTTGAAGGCTCTGGAGGTCAAGAATTGGCGCTACAGACAAACTGGAAATCACAATTCCTGAATTTCCGGGTTCCCCATAGGGCTGGTTTTTGAACTCCGGACCTTTCATGGACCTTCAAGAGGCTTCCCTGAAGGCTCCGGAGGGTAAAAAACGGCCCTACAAGCAAACCAGAAGTGACTTCCAGTTTGTCCGTAGGGCAGATTTTCGACCACCGGAGCCTTCCCTGAAGGATCTGGAGGGTGAAAAACGGTCCTATGAGCAAACTGGAAGTCCGTTCCCAAACTTCCAGTTTTCCCATAGGGCCGGTTTTTCGTGCTTTGGAGGCTTCAGGGAAAAACAGCCTCAAAAGAAGGCTGAAGTCAGCTGACCAGTGCGTGCATGCTTGCTGGCCAGCTGACAGGGCAACAACTCACGTGCCCTGACAAATGGCTCTGCGTGCCACCTGTGGCATGCGTGCCATAGGTTCGCTATTATGGACTTACACCAAACAGAAACTAAAAGTATAAATAAAATTACTTTATTGTGGCCATTAAGTAGCACAAGAAACTAAAACTGATCAGACTATTAAAAGTGATGGTGGAAAGTTTGAATAATAGCAATAGCAGTTAGACTTATATACTGCTTCATAGGGCTTTCAGTCCTCTCTAAGCGGTTTACAGAGTCAGCATATCGCCCCCACAATCTGGGTCCTCATTTTACCCACCTCAGAAGGATGGAAGGCTGAGTCAACCTTGAGCCGGTGAGATTTGAACCACTGAACTGCAGATAGCAGTCAGCTGAAGTGGCCTGCAGTACTGCACTCTACCCACTGCACCACCTCGGCTCTGAGCTTCAGAATAGCAAGGTTCTGTAAGTGTAGCTTTTAAATAAAGTAGATTTAGCTCTCATCTAGTCATGTTACCTGTCTGGTTTACCTGGGGGGGCTGACATGTAATTTCTACATAAATGCAAGCTTTAAAAAAAGCTAACCTCTTTGGCAGAGTGGATCTAAAAATTCCTGTAATCCATTTGGAATGTTTCGGACAACATCACATGAGTAACCATCTTCTGGGAGAAGAAAAGGAAGCTGAAGATCAGGGTCCTCTTCTAACTGTACTTCTCTACCATCACTACGAGCTAGTTCATCAGCAGTATTTTCTGCAACAGCTACCACATTTTCTATTAATTCCTGATGGAAAAAGGAAAAATATGCATATACATGGAAATCAAGGCAAGGGAATTCTACATTTTTGCTGTCTGGTATTAGTCATATTATTAATTGATTCAGAGACCAATGCAGATATTCATTGTTTGGTTAAGAAGAAGAATTCATTTGGTAAGATATATTTAAGGAATATTAAATAACAGGAAGAAAATATTTAGGCTATAATCACTGTTCCAGTGATTGTTCAAGGAAACAGATAAACTAAATACAGATAGCCTTTGCTTAATGACCCTTGGGATCAGAATTTTCATTGTTATTAAAGCAGTTGTTAGGCAAAATATCAGGTGACTGTATAACTTAGTGATGGCAATTTCAGTAGCCTGGCTGCGGTTGTTATGCCAGAACTGCACTGTTGTCCAGTGAGGACCCCATGCATCTTCTGGCAGTAATCCTGTGACCACAGGGGCATGGCAATGGCTTTAACTTTGAGGACTTTGTGATCAGTTTGTTCAATTTGTTCGATGCCATTACAACTTCAAACAACAGCTGAACAAATGGTTAAGTGAGGATATCAATGTCAGGAAATACAAGCCAAAAAATATGCATGCATTGGATCATTACGTAAGAGATAAAATCACAAATCTGAGAACCATAAGATCTTCTGAAGAGAGAAGAGCCATCTAATCAACAAAAGCTAGCATAACTGGAATAATAAATAACAGGACTATGGAGAAATCTTTACTTAGCACAGAATACACATTCAAGTTGGATGTAACAGTTGCTCTAGAACATCTCCCCAAACAGCTCTAATTTTATACATATTTATAAGATTTCTGACCTCACTAAATGTACCATGGTGAATACATAATTCAGAGACAAGCATTTAGATTTATTTTACAGGTAGTCTTCACTTGCTGACCACCTGTTCAGTGCCTGTTCAAAGCTACAACAACAGTAAAAAGGTGGACTTATGACTTGCCCTTATGACTTGAATATTGTGAGCATTGCAGCATCCCTGAGGTCACGTGATTGCTATTTGGACAACTGGCAAGCAATCCACATTTACTATGTTTGCAGCATCCTTCAATCACACAATTACCATTTGTGACCTTCACAGCCAGCTCCCAACAAGCAAAGTCAGTGGGGAAGTCGGCAGCAAGTCACAACTTGTGATCAGATGACAGTGCACAATGACCCATGGTGATTGGCTTAATGACAGCAACTGGAATGGATGTTTTAAGTCAGTGACATCTCATGACATTTCATTTAACATCTGCACTACTTAGTGACAGAATTGCCAACCCCAATTGCAGTTGGTGAGACCTACCTATATATTCTTTGTAAAAAGTACCATGCACACAATAAAAAACCCTACTAATTAAAAGCTATGTTTTCAACATTAGTATTAGCTTCCTTAAGTAAACAAGTTTTCATTCACTGCCATATAATTTCCACTGTATTACATAAACTTATATTGATCATCAATCACTCACTCACCCACTTCAAATTTAAAAATAAGATTAACTTACTGGTGGAATAAATGGCTCATCTGGTGCACAGTGATAGTTTTGTAGCAATGCATGCAGTTGTAAAGAATTGAGTTTAAAACAGGTACTATTAATATTAGGAATGTCTTCAGGAGAATACTTATCCATAGTAAGTAATGTAGTTGCCTGGGGAGGGGGGGGGGAGAAGATGATTATAAATAGATCCACTTTAATATGAACATACATAGCAGTGAACACTGTAACATAGATAAATGCTTCTGATTTAGTTCTACTTAAGTTCATCAAAAAATATTGAAACAGTGCAATTTTCATTTTGGAGTATGTTTTGTCTCATTTTTTTTTCTTCAATCAGTCAGCATACCATAATCACTGGACAAACTTAAAATATAGTTTGATTTTGTCTTGTCATGGATTGGTTTAACATTACACATTACAAACCTAATCACCAAAAATGCTAGGGTTTTGTTTGTTCCCCACCATTTGGGTTTGTTTAGGAATGAACTGCAAGATGTACATTATATATTCATTTCAAGCTAAATTCAAATAATGTATCACCATATTTCTATGGGAAGTTTCCAGGCAAATTTATACTGAAAACTGTTTTAAGGAATTTTTTATAAACCAAGTAACTCCAACTTTGCACATAGTTCACATTTATGCTTTAAAAAATTCTCTTTTCACCCAAAGGCTAGTTAATGAAAGTGAACAGATTATGGTACAGAAACTCGGTCAATAACATGGCAGAACTAAACAAAAAATATGGTGATTTCCTAATTTCCTAAAACTGTTTATTAAAATTTATTAAATACTACCTTACACAACTCGATGTAGGTGCCTCAAAAGACTGTGAATTTATTTTTTTCTAATACACTCAAATACCTACTTGTACGATCCGACTGAGATGACAATCAGCAGCCAGCTCCAAGCCCTGTTTTTCTGCCCAGGCTTCTATATGACCCAACTGTTGACGAATAATAGCTCCCCAATAATGTGAACACAGTCCTGAATCTGGATCAGTAACCAATCTGTTAAAAAGCCACATGTTGATAAAATGAAACAGCTGGGAGAAGAGCTGTATTGTCAGTGCTGCATTCACTCTACATCGTCGCAACAGGGACATGGCTCCAGTTAATGTATGTAAGACATCATCTACAAGAAAAAAGTTGCACATGACATTTTACTCAGCAATAAATTCTAAATTGAGCTATGCATCTATTTTAATATTAAAAGCTAAAGTCTAAATGGAAATCTTTATTACAGAAAGATAACACTGAACACCTTACATTACTTTATATCACATTATATTGTAAACTTTTAATATTAATGTAATATATAATTAATGCAAATATATTGATATGGATAAAAATAAGTTTTTATTATTTTAATCTTTTACTGCTTTCCCTGCCTCTCTCCCTCTTTGACTCTCAGAAACAAAAACAAACAGTTGGCTATTACTATTGTATTATTGGCAAGCCGCCAAATCGGTTACCTTAGTTGTAACATAAACAGTATGTAAACATGGGGACAGCAGTCTTTTTCTTACTTACAGCTACAATCTATAATAAATTAAAGGCCACATGTTTCCCCATTTAAGCCACAAACAAGATAATTAAGGAATCCACTGGTGATTTATAGTTATTACTTCCCAATATAGTTTTATTGTTGGGTATTCCAAAACTACTTTTTGGGTATTCCATCCCGTCAATCTTTAGCTGAATTTCTTCTAAATGTTACACATTTTTTTAGTAATGCTACCATCTAAATCCTACTCAATAGTATTTTAGTATTCCACTATTACAGTTTCAGTAAAATAATATAAACCATTGAGGTTTATGTAAAGTTTATTTTCTCCACAATGAAGTTACATATGACTTTACTATAAGACTCTATTAGAACATAATTTAATATTCATTTACACCTCCACAGATATGTATTTACATTAACAAGTACATTCTAATATGACACAAACAATGATATAATGGATAACTTGGTTTTCAGTAGGTGACCAAGTTTCTTCAATAAATAAATGTCTTTATTTATAGGTAAATAAAATATTTCTTATTGCATGTGAATATACTCAGCAGGGTATCCTAACATATGCCCGTTATGCTATCACAGTCTTGTTAAGAAAACATACATTGTAATTAATATAATGTAAAATATTCTAACCTATTTTAGGTCTTTGAGGATTATTCTCTTCTGGATCATCAAGGAATGCAGGCATGTAGTTATTAAGCTCTGACTGAAGACAGTGGACCAAGTATCTGAAAAAGCAAATTGTGTGAAACTAGTGAATAGTAGGCAAATAAGTTCAAGCTTGTAGTACTATGAAAAATAATTTCATTACAAACATAGAAAATGTAGCTCTCCCAGATGTTCCCTTTATGTACCAACTCAAAAATAAGTCCCGTTGTTCTGTGGTATTTATTTTCAAACAAGTATACTAGTAGGCTACATATACATATACGTACATACATATACACACATATAAAATGTGTGTGTGTGGGGGGGGTAGCCTACATATACATACACGCATACATATTCACAAGTTGAGAGATATTTGCTATATTATTTCCAAGAAATATAAATATTTGGCACTAAAATTTAATTAAAATATTAAAATTTGGCCATCACAAACTTATAAAAATGTAACCAATATCTCAAATTAATTATTTATGGCACTACTATTTTTGTAGAGGGACTTACTGATTGGTTTCCCTACTTAGCAAATTAGGAAAGGTAGACAGTGTATAAGAATTTCATATATTTAACATTTTTTTCTGATTTTCAAATTTTGGGAGATGGAAGGTATCTTAAATTTCAGGTTGTCTTTTTTTTGGGGGGGGGGCTATTTTAATTTTAAAATACAATACTAATCCAATATTCCTGAATACTCCTTAGATCTCCATACTGAATGTTTTTTTTAACCATAGAACAATTTAATCTTTTTCAGAATAAATATAGTAACTATGTCATATATATATTACAATATTTTAAAAAATAGAAAGAATACACCTCAGAACATTTATACTTTTAGAAACACATATTACTTTGTTTCCAAACATATTTAGAATTCAATCAAAATAAACAACTGCTCATTAAGAAAAACTAAAACGGATCCCCAAGCATAAATTAGTTTTCCTTACTTAAATGCCATCTGAACTAAGTGTGCCAAAACATCTTGTGCATCTAATGTGATTCGGCTTAAGTCTCGATCCTGCTTAATAAAGTTTAGCAACTCAGATGCATTTGCCATCCAAAAAGCAAGTGCCCCAGCAATATTCTTCTGTTTCTGCAAATATTGAAAAATGGCTGTAAACATCAACATAAATTCATCCTGTATTTCAGCTTTCATTCTGTCAAAGGCTCTGTTAGATAGACCAGTACCAACTAATAACCAAACATATCTCAGTTACCAGATACTTGCAAAGAATTTATATGAAATTGCAAATAATATATAGTGCGTGTTACAACTGCTTTAAATTGCAAGTTGAATGATAAAATATTAAATTTTCCAAATGCTGTTAATGAAATGGACTTAGCATGTTGTCATGAAATGCTGAAAGCTTAGATGTATGCATTATCTGGTAATCTGTATGTGTGTGAGCACACATTCATTAATACACACTGTCACCCAGATACTGCCTAGTCACTGGCTTTGACACCAAGCAGTATCAAGTACTGATCTATCTCACCCTTTCCCGACCACAAATGCTAGGCCAGGCAACCTCAGATGAGATCCAAAGAACAGAACCACAGACAAAATAAACAAAAAAGGAAGGAAAAGAACTTTTGTCATTACATCTCTGTACTGAAGTGCGTTAAGCAGAAATTATGAAATGCTGATAGGCTGCGCAGTCAAAAAAGGATTTTAGTACTGCATGTTCCAGTTGCTGAATGAGTGTTATGTTCAATCCAGCTGTAGAAATATTGTATTTTACATGGAAGCAGCATGAGAAACTGAGCTAAGCCAACGTAGCTAGGATCAGTTCCCAGCAATATATCCTACCTGATCAACCTGGTCTACCTCCTGGAGAAAAACGAAGGAAATCAAACAGAAGAAAGAAACTTGTGAACAATCATGACAATTTTAGAAATGAAACACTAAAATATGAAATCACAAGACTTATGCTCAGTCACATTAAAACATTTCACTGGGGGAACATGATATAACTGAGAAATTAAAAGATATATAGATATACACATGAGAAACTTTTTAGAGGAAGTCCAAGTTTTTCCTCCAGCCAATCTATATATATGCATTAATACCAACAGTATAATCCTGCATGGAATAATGTCTAAATCTGTCCATGGAAGCCAGTAAAGTCTTTATTTTGGCAATTCTTCACCATACTACCATAACAGTATAGTTAGAAAAAAGAAACGAAAACCTCTGCAAAACAAAATAATACATTTGTTCAAAATTTTATACTTTCTGTTTCTCTAGCCTTTGAATCTAGGAGTTCCTAAGTCACTCTTGTATTATTTTCTATCATCTCACTTATTTTTTTCTCACTGAAAGTCATTTTTATGCCTCCAAATAATACTTCCAAACCACTGAAACAATGCTTCACAGCAAGAGCAGAGACTTAAGACCACACAAATATTCAGGTAAGCCACGAGAAGTGCTACAGGAAGAGGAGGAACAGTGGCTTAGCAGCTCACCCTGGCCTCAGCTGACAGGCTTCCTGGCCAAGTGCTACACACACCACCCACATGGTGAATCTCCTATCAAGCAATACAAATCAGTGGGGAAAAATAATGAAACTGAAATTGCGCAAGAAAGGGAAAGAGGTGTCTAAGGGGGGAAAGGTTGATTCACCCTACAACAATATCTGCTGGGTAAGAACTTAGACAACAAACAAAATTTCCTTCCTAGGCAAAAGAAGTCTCAACCAGGGAAGGGAAGAGAAGAGAATGGAAAGCAAAAAAGGAACAATATTTTTGCTCAGCAAGAAATGAGAGGAAATGGGCAGGATTTTTGTACTCATATTGAAATGGGTCCCCCCCGTAAGCTATCATTGTAGATACAATTTAAAAAAACAAAATTACATACCAAGCCAATCATAGAATAAAATATTAGCCTTTTAAAAAATCCTGCCAGTTAAATGACCAAACTGAATAGGCCCCATTTGTAGGTTTTTATTTTCAAGTGGTTTTGCTTCACAGTAAAGTTCTTTTAATTTATTTTCGTTTAGAAGAATATTTGTGATATTCATGGTTTTTTTTCATTTTCTTGACTATTACAGTTTTTTTTTATAAAAGATCTTAGTGTTTTCCTGTGGTATTCATGCAATCTAAATTTTTCAGGAGAAAATAGAAATGTACTTGGTTGTATGTCAGAAAATAATGATGTTATTAATTTGAATATACTTACTGGGGATAAACGAAGGAGTTTCTTTTTCTTATTTTCTTATATTATTTTCTTCTATTAGTTTTATATGTATAATATAATTCTTAATAAAATTATTGAAACAATAATTATAGGTCATTATTTTGCAAAAATAGTTACCTATATTTTAAACTATGCATAAAAGACTAATAGGAACTAATTCAGGCAATCACAAGAAGTCAAAGATTGACTCAAAGACACACATATACACACAATGCCTGTCTCAAAGAGTATGAGGCAGTGCAGCTAAGCCTGCTAAATAAGATGGCAGTCCACTGTGAGAAGTGTTCTACTGGCTTCTATTGAACAGTTTTTGCACATTAGTCCTTGCAGAATCATACTTCAAAACTACAGCATCATTAAAGTAACAGGAGACATGTGAACACAGAAACAGGACAATTTGAAAGAAAATGAAAATTGAAACACTTAATAAATTGGCTGCATAACTAGGAATGTGTTGTTCATGTAAATGGAATTATTTGGACATAGAATATAAAAACTGAGTGATGCTCAAGTTATGGCACCACTTTATATTTAAATGCTTGCCATATTTAATTATAATTATTATTAATAATAATTTATTGTCCCTGCACAGATGGGTAATAATTTGGATCCAGAGAGTTCAGTGCATAAACAGAAGTAATCTTATTGAAATCTTGCTGAAGAAAAGGACACAGTTCACAATCCACCTCCTCCCTGCTGCCACCCACATCTTTTCATCTTCTCACCAACTTTCTATGCAGTTTTTCTGGAGAAATGACCACTAGCCCACATTTTGAAGAAATTACCCACCCACAGCCGTCAGCAGAAACATCTGCGAACAGTTTTATTCACAAAAACTTCCATTAAAAAGACAGAATACAACATATGATAGGGTTGTAACATGATTACCATCATATTTCATAAAACTGGACCAATATTGATAATTCAAACAAAATTTGAAGATAATTTGAAATACCATTAGATTTTAGATATCTACCAATAAAACATATGAATATTAACACTATAACAGATTGTACCTCTTGTTCACCATTCCATATCAAGAAGTATCACTGTTTTTAAAAACATTTTCAATATTTTTGTAGGTTCATTACAAATGTCTGACTGCAGTTTGGTCACAACAAGAGTTATTTCATACACAATTACAAATAGTATTATGATATCCAAACAATCTGTGCTTATGATCTCTAATATAAATGCAACTTGGTAAAAACAATCCTTCAAAAGCAGGGTTTTTTTTTGTGGATATAAAACATTTAGTAGGTTCTTAGACTGAAACTCACTTGTATAACTCCTTCCATCATTTTCACCATCTTGTTGACTATTGCAATGACTTTGTGAGTTCGTTCAGCAGGACTGATGTCAGGTCTGTACTGGCTTGATAATACATACCGACATGTCATGTACAGAACATAAGTAGGCGATAGCTTAAAATGAACTGTTGAGCTATTAGTGTAATTGATGATGGCAGACAAAAAAGCATCCTCAGCTGAAGAACAAAAAACAAAAAAGTAACAAGCTAACTTAATTGAAAAATTTAAGAAGCAATAGTAAGACACCACTTCAGGAAAAAAAACCCAAATTAAATTATTGGGATCACTTTCATGAATCAAACATTAACACCAAAATATTTTTACAAGATTAAATGACTGAAAATTAAATAGTAAAGGGCAACAACAAGCAAGTAAAACAAAATACAAAAAGGAGTTTAATAAATCTGTATCAGAGAATTCTACATAATGTCTATACCAATAATTTAAATGAATTTTTTCACCATTAACCTAAAACATGGCAAGTAATTTAGTAACATTTCTGATTAATTTTATAAATGGATTTGGAGTTATTCTTGTCTTAATGAGATAGTCAAAACAATGCATTTTGCCTTAAGTATTTGATGCCCATGATCACTGCTAGCAACATTGGCAAAATGGCTGCAGATTAATCCATTTCCTCTTTCTTGGGATGCTGCTTTCTAAAATATTTAACACAGTAGACTTATCTTAAATTAGAAAGTTCATTCTTGTTAACTAAAGCAGATCTGAATAACTGGGGGCTCTAACAAAATTCAGGACAAAACTAGTACTTTTAAACTGGATTTTATCTCTTACATCATATAGAATCAGAAATTTGCTTACAGACATGAATTTAAACACTGATTATTTTTATATCATTACTGTAGACAATCAATTTCTATTTTCAATACTATCAAAATAAAACATTTTGTAATAAAAGTTGTTGTTACTCGATTTTTTAAAACAAAAATATATGCTTACAGTTTTCTCTGAATTCAACGCTTGCAGGTAGTATCAATTCTGGACCATCCTGTAGTCTAGAGGCAGAAAGCAGATCTTCAGAAATCCAGTTTAAAGAGAACAAATTAATTTCATTTTCAGGAGATAAAGATTTTTCCAAAGGTTTTTTTTTAATGGTTGTATACATTTTTTGTATAGATATGAAACACAAAAATGTGGGAAATATATCTTGTTACTTTCCTGCTCTTACTATTAGATTCACTGAGGTTACATTTGCTGAAAAGACAGCAAGCCTACTTGAACTGAAGGTCTGCATTATTAATGCATTTACACCACACAATGTATTGTTCAAAACAGTTAGTCATCTACTGTAATTAGATCATGTTACTTAAACTTATAAACAGAAAAACAAAAGTGGAAGAAGAGGCTACTTTATAAACTATATTATGAAAGTGTTACATAAATGAGGGTTGTTGATCAGATAACTCATTCAAGAATAATCATCTGATAGATTTCAATATGCCCAAGTACCAAGAAGTAAAGGTTCTGATAGTATGGGTAGAAAACGAGAAAGAATCTCAAAATATGAAGGTCAGCACTTTTAGTTTGGCTGAGTAATAAGTTATGAGCCATTGAAAATAGTAAATACTGGTATTATATGATTATGTCTATTTTTAAATTTATTGCCTTGACTGATTTCAGAAATACAATCTGCAAGTGAATAGATTTTAATATTAAATGCTGAATAGTGTTTGGCAGCTTTAATTAATTTCTCACATAATATTAGATTTAGCATGGCTTAAAAGGAGTCCCCCCCCCCCCGTTGCTTCAAGCATGTAACAAAACAAATGTGCCTGGAATGTTTCAAATTAGTTGTTTATGGAGATGCTCAATCATCTAGGTCATGGTTGTCTCAAAGGTGCTTTTCAAAAGACAACTGGACTTTCTTGTTTTTTTCCCTGAAAACATTTCACTTCTCAGCCAAGAAGCTTCTTTCGTTTGGAAAGCCATAGTAACTGAAGAAGCTTCTCGGATAAGAAGTGAAACATTTTCAAGGGAAAAAACAAGTCCAGTTGCCTTTTGAAAAGCACTTTGGGATTTCAAATTAGTTGTGATCCAAAGAAGTAAAACCTTGACCACCCCAAGACAATAGTTCCACCACTAAGAACTGAATACAAGCCATTTGCTCCCTTTCACCATATGGCTTCAAATCCAAGACGAGCTGGGAACTATCCAGAATGTTAGGTAAGTGTGAACAAATTGTAAAAAGTAAAAAAAAAGTACTCTACAGAACCTGTGGCACACTATGGTTTGCAATGGCTGTAACATAAAATTTTAAAAAGCACTAGTATCTTAATAAAACATTTAATCTATTGTTTGGGAAGACCATTCAAAGTATTAGTTTTCTCTATAAAGCTTCCTTCTCAAAACTGACTATTGTGGGTTTTTTTAATTTAAAAATAATGTTCTGTAAATTTTAGGCCCAAAATTTAAAAACAGTACCTGCCATCCTGCTTGTGATAATCTTGCTGTTCTATTCTGATCATTGGTTTCACCATGCTTCGTTCAGCTGTGCTAGAAGTTGACATTCTGTCACAGTCCAGTCTATTGATGCTCTGCTTCATACAACACATATCCAAAAAGTTATTTTAGTGGATTTAAACTTACTTTCATATAAAACGTGTGAATCCTCACAAATTTCTTCAAAATCCGCACAATCTCACAAGTTAAATTTAGTAATAATGAACATGTTTTCTGAAAACCTATCACTGTCTTTCTAAAACCAAATAAGCAAATGTTTACTCGAAAAGTGCCCTGTCCATTCCCATAAGGCATTCCAACAAATCTCCTCCCAATATCTTGCACAAATTCCATGAAAATGTTATTTGGTAAATCAATGTGAAAAGGGACTGTCTGAACTTTAAAAATAAATCATCAAATCATTCAAAGCACTAGACAGAAAACTGAATGGTTATACTGAGATGTTCCTGTGTTCTTAAATATATTTAAAGTGCCAACTGTTAAATCTGATAATAGTCATGGTATTCAGACTAAAAATCTGTTACCTTGCTTGTAGATAATCCTGTTACACTTTGGATGTCTCCTTCCAAATCAAAAGTAGTTTCTTGTACACCTCTGAGAAGGCAATATACATTCAAGAACTAGATGATTAGGAACATTCAGTAAACATAAGCATATATAATAAAAGCAATTCTTACATAATTGTTCAATAATTCTCATTAGCAAATTCACTGTGTATTTGATTCACATAAAAGTATAAAATATCTGAAAGTCTTAAGAAGGGGGTGCACATTTCAGTTCAAACTATTTTGAGCATGTAATTTCACATTTCAAGTTTGTAAAATGCATTTTGAAAGTATCTTTGGTGAAGGCCGGCTTAGGAGGGGGCATGCCTTCATCTTCAGATAGTTTATCCTCCCTAACTTCCCCCTCCTCACAATCCACGTCACTGTCCTCTTGTGATAAAGCTGAGGAACTAGCGCTGTCTTCCCCCTGGGTTTCCAGCCCCTCTGGTATCCTAGGAGAGGATGCCACCTGGGCTTGCATTTGTGGCTGCTGAAATGCAGCTGTCATGCATTGCTGGAAGGCCCGCATCATTAGGTCTTGAAAATTGGGGACCCCTGTGGGGGGTTGCTGGCTGGGACCCATGCCCACCTGTGTGAGGGGGAAAACCAGAGGTGGCATCCCCCTGGGCAGGGCTGATCCCAGGGAAGCCGTATGTGGGGGGGGGGGGAGTTGCCAACCCTGAGGAAGACCCCAAAGACCTGATGTGTCAATAGGGATACTTGCTTGTAATGTGGGTGCTTCCCCTGTAGCCCCGCCTGTTGCAGGGATTCCAGGGGCCTTCCCCTTCTGTCCCAGCCCTGGAATGGACTTAAGGCCACTTGCCTTTTTGTAGAACTGTTCCAGCTTCCTGTGCCTCCGCCTTTCATATTTAGATGGCTTGGAAGGCTTGTGACCACCCTCTGCCTCCAGCTCCACCCTGAGGGAAAGGTGCTTCTTCTTATCTCTAGCCTTAGCTCCCCCCCCCTCTGGGGAGCTTCTAGGGTGGTCACTAACCCTGGTTTATCCTCTGCCCCTCTGGTGGGACTGCTCGCTGTTGCTGCAGATATTTGAGTCCTGCCTTTCTCCTTGTTGCGGCTGGGCGCCGCCATCTTGGAACACGTGGCTCCTTCCGGCTTCAAGATGGCGCCCATGCCAGGAGACAAAGGGTGCCTCTTTTAAAACTCCTTTTCTGGCGGCTTGTGCTCCGAGGAGCTGCCACGGGCCTCTGCC